ACGGGCGGCTCCGCGCAGCGCGGCCCCGCTCCACGCCGGGGGCAGCCTGCCGCTTCGCGCGCACCCAGAAACACAGCAGCAGCGTCCTGTCACGGTATTTTGGGGGACGCCGGGAAGTCATCCGCTTTTTTGGGTGGCTCTGAGCAAACTAAGGAACCTGTCCGGAGAGCGTGTAACAGCATCAAAAAATAACTCTGCCCTCTAAGGCCACGCGTCTATCGCAAACATTCGCTATAGAAGAGTTGACACGCTGACTAACTCCAAAGTTTTCTCCCTTTTGGACCTCCTTATAATTCCTTCAGGAGCATCGACCATGCGCTGAGCCGATGACCGGGCTCCTCAGGCCTGTCTGATCTTCGCAACCCAGTAAACGCCGCCTGAGCGCCACAGCCTGCCTTGTCACCCTTTCATTTCACAGCAGACCGCGCGCCTGCCGGTGCTGGGGAAGCTCCTACCGCCTCGCCCCGCACCCCTTTGCTCTGCTGCGGGGCGCCAGTCGTCCACGTAGCTCCTCCCGAGGCCGGGACCACCTCGAGAGTAGCCAGCGTCGCTCTCAAAGAGGTCTTCTGCAGCCGTTTTACTGTCCTAACCGTGCTTCAGGATCCACTACTTGACTGCACTGCAACATTTAATTGTCCTCATGATCCACGCGTGAGGATTTTCCCCTTCAGGAGAACACTGGATATTTCCAGAGAAGCAAAACCCAAGAAGCCTCCCATAAACAGAGCCTAATTTGCACAGTACCTCTCAGGCATATGGAGCAGGTTATGGACTACAAGAATTACCATCGCTTGAGGCCATCACGTCTGATTTCTTCAAGGTTACTTGCAACTCCCAAGATGCTTCTAACGTGCTCCTGGAGCAACAGGGGAGCCCCCCCTGCAGCTAATTTAACCACTATACACGCTACACTCCCATAGGTAGCAACGAGAGACTGAGCTCAACGCTGGAGCGCAGTTGCCTGAGCTGCATTTTGATAGTCAGAAGTGCAATGCCTTTAAGCATTTTGCTTGCATTAACTTTGTTCCGCTTAAGACAATAGGAGATTAATCCTCCTTTTTTGGTGAAATAAAACCCAATTAGATTCAAAACATTTAGCATTTAAGCTAAAAACAAACCAAAAGAACCAGTCGACCATATAATCAAGGCTTCTACATTCAACAGAAGAAAAAAGAGTCACCTTGGAAGGCTTCTGGTCACACAGGTCAGAGCTGCAGTTTTTTTTCACTCGTGCTGCAGCTTTCCAAGGTCACAGGAAGAGCGCGGGCAGCGGCGGCGAAGACAGCACGCCCCGGAGGACTGCCACTGGGAAGTCCAGGGCCACAGCCACTAACCCGGACTACTTCGTTTTTGGTTATACGGCCCGCAGGTTGAAGTTACATATGCACGTACGCATTCACAGGATCAGACCCCAAGCTGGTATGGCAACAGGTAGGTTAACGACAGAGAGGTGAGGGAATAATATGCATCAGCGAAAGAACGATTAGCATAACAAGCCAGAGCACCCCAGCTGCCTACCTGTCGTCCAGCAAGTGGTTTTATGAACCCAAGGAAAAGGACCAAGTTAGCCACTGCTGGGTTTTGCTTAACCTCGGGCCCAATCCTACCGGCTTCGTTCAGACAGTACTGCCATTGACTTCAGCGGGAGCTCTGCCAGAAGAGAAATGGCAGGATGATGGATCTGACGAATAATTTACTTGACAAATAACAGCATTACTTGGCATATACGTTACTCTGTGAAAAGCGTCTAATCAGGCCTGTGCAAGAGCCTGAGGCATTTAATTCGGTGGGATTTTTGCCGTTGTTTTCAGTGGGTGGCAAGTTCAAGTCCCAAACGGCCAATCCTTTTCTAACGTGGCTGTTAGTGCCTCATCTTTGGGTGTTGGGTGCTCTTCTCCTCACCTTTTTCTGGCTATGTTAAGCCATTTAGCTCAGACATAGTTGGTTCTTATTTTGATAGTACAAGACAGTCCACTACGTGACCACCGTCTCCTGTTCCTCCACCTTCCCTCAAAATACCATTAAGGATCCTGAGTTACACATATACGCACCTACAATGCCAAGAAAATTCAACATCACTGAACTGGAATGTCCATATATGCAACATTAGTTGTGTCAACACATGAGGAAAGACATGCATATTTCTGATGGTTTTATAATAACTGTTTTGAAAAGCATGAATTAAGGATGGCCTGTTCATTTTTTTCAGGCTGGAGCCTGAATCCCCCCTCCCCAACAAATAAAATTTGACCCTGCACTTTAATCAGTGACAAAACCCTATGTGCAGACAAAGTGTTTAGTTTTTAAACGCAGGACAAATAGGAGATAGGGGAAAGGAAAGTTTATGACTAATTTAGGAAATGGACACTTAAACACTGAAGCGTCTGAATACATATCTATCAATTTAAACCACACGTTCTAGAAAATGCTGCTCGTAGGCACCCATACCATTAAGACGGTTATTATCACCTTCATTAATGCTCAGAGGCCCAGATGATGCACGCACGCACACACAGCTCAATGCTGTTCTCACCAACAGCCCTGCAGACTTCACACCCAAGTATCACACATCCTCTCTGACATTATTTTGCCGAGAAATTACAACCGGCCAGTTCCAACGAGCGTCCAAGCTGACATCCTGTGAGAGGGCGGTCAAACAGCAAAGCGCTAGGTGCCTTAAGAGTCGTGGGTTTCCCCCTACAAAATGCCGCTCAGTCCTAGAGGCACGTTTGGGAGGGAACGGCTGCCAACACACACTACGCACAGGCATATTGCAGCAGGGCCGACGTAATTTAGGCCCTTTTCCACCCAAAGATGTGCTCCACTTTCAGCATTTTTTGACTTTAGTGCAAGTAGTCAGGTGCTTAATGGCAAACACATGCTTGAGTGCTTTGCTGGAACAGGGCTACAGATAACAGAAGAGCTATTTAACCAGTTATTGTACATGACTTTCTATTACACTTCAGCAGTTTGCTCGGAATGACCAGTTTACCTTGTCAACAGGTGTCTTTTTTTTTTTTAAACCAATGAGTATTTACTAACCGCACATCATTGAGAACTGTATCAGTACTTCTTACAATGAACAGCAATATAAATCTACCCAAACAATCCGCTCAGTCTTAATCCTGCTAAAGTGACCACAGCACTCAGCATGAGCTTTGGATGTGCAAGAAAAGCAGGGATCAGGTCTAGAATCAGGGATTTGTACGCCTGCTGTCTCAGCCCTTCTCCTGTTGAATATAGCTGGAGTCTTGCCAGTGATTTAAATGGAAGCTGGGCTAATTCCCTTATGTTTAAGATAAGCCCATCTCCAGTATTGGACTTCCCACCAATAGGGCCTAACGGGCACAGGGATTGCTCTTGCCAATTCAGCTGCCAGAGTGAACCCTGTGTGTGTCCATTAGCCGTTACAAAAAAGCCAATAATCTAGTCTTTAAAGCCTTATTTAATCTTTAGAGGCTCAATTTTTCAAGGTACTCAAGCACATGTTTTACTAAAGTACCTGAGGAACTCAGCTGACCACTCGTAATTAAAAGTAAGGACCTGTTTAAGTTGCTGGAATGAGCCCAAGCCACAAGCCAATTTTTATTTTAAAAAAGCAACTTAACCAGCCTCAAAAGAAATGCAAAATCCTGTGTTCAGAAGAATCTGTAATTAAGACAAGTTTCTATTTCAGGTTTCTGTAATCTTCCTTTTTTTTTTTTCCCTTCTTTCAAGGAAAATGGAACCGATTTCCCGAAGACTAAGAACACTACATTTCCAGTCACAGCAAATTAAGTCCGAGTATGAAATTTTAAACGTAGATTAATAGTAAAAAAAAGTCATACATGAAATAGGCTTAACTACACCAAGACTAGGAAGCACTGCTAGAAAATTGTTTCTGGTAGTTTTACTAAAAAACGTTCTCATCCTGTTAAAAATAATGAACACTATGAAACTCTAATAGAAAAATTACCAGCATAAACCAATCACTCTCTTTTGTTTAGAGATTCCATTTCCTTCTCCTCTCATTTACTTTAAATGCTGAGCACAATGAAAATAAGTATGTTGCCGTGCCGTGATTTGTTTCCTGTGCTGTATGCACTCCACATGGAAAAAACGCATGCACACCTTTTTGGTGGTCGGAACGCAGTATTGCTATACTGCCTCATTATTTCATGGGTATTTTTCACTTTACCAGACAGACCCTTTCCAAAGCACATTTTAGAAGTGCTTGCTGCACTTTTAAGGTAAAGAAAAAAATCTTGCCCGAAAGGCACAGCTGTTAACTATACCATAACACTCATTTTTTTAAAAAAAAATCATTGGACCACCTAAGATTTGCAAGTGAAAAAACAAACAGCACAAAACCCAGCAAGGCAGGACAGCTACTAGTTAAGAAAAACCCCTAGTCTTTCACTCCAGAGTAAGGTTTCACACCACACATCCTATAGACAACGCTAAGGAGACTTCTACTTTGTCACCATTTATTATTTCCCTTTGAGAATGTAAGGGTGACTGCTTTGGTTCAGACCAAAAATTCTTTACCCCATTGACGTTATCTCCTCTGACAGGGATCAAACCTACTGAGCTTATTTTGAAATTGCACCACATGGAACGTACCAACGTCTTCCTTCTAGATCGCGATTTCAGATCATGCCCAGATGACCAAAGACTACTATGTTTTCTCCAACATGAGTTAAGAACATCAGTCTAATCTCTAGAGAGAAGCTTTTTCATCATAAAAAAGACTTCCCTGAGGATCAATCATCTTAAACTCACGAGAGTTTAGCTAGCTCTATTTCATATACTGCAAGAGACTAATTATGCAAATAACAGCCTCGTATTAAAGAAGTCAGACTTACCATCCAGAAGTTCCTCCTCCCAACAATGCTGCTGGTGAGGATAGCGTGAGAAGGTATCAGTGAATGCTAAAAACTCACAGCTGACTCCATGAACAGCAGCACCAAACTTGCATGCTAAAGATCACAGTATAAAGATATCCCACCTGCCTCTAAGGAGCTACTTCAGGTCCAGAAATAAGACAGCTACGTTCACACAGCAACGAACCTCTGCTAATCAGGGACTGTCCAAGCAGGCTGCCGCACTAAGCGGTGTGGTCTTTTCAGCCGGGGTCAGCAGTAGCTTGAGGCTCTCTGTCTCGTCCTTTCTCACAGGGCGTAGGAAGGCCCAGAGGGGGAACCGAACATGTGCCTCATTAGCAAGTACCCTGCTAATGTTTTAAGGATGACAGTCACTGCCAGCCAGTTCTTGGTGGAGCACTTCTGAGTACCAAATTCTCTCGAAACATTGAACCTCACAAAAATATTGTCGCAAAGAGAGTATTTATAGAAGGTCATTCTTTGCTCTCTGCAAAGGGTCACCAGGCTAGGCAGGAGAGAGGGCTGCACGTTGTGGCAGGGCACGCATGCTCCACTGAGCAATCGTAATGCAAAGCAGCCACCCCCTTACCACCCAGTGCAAACTCTGCCCTGCGTGCTCCCGCAGGGACAGATGCGCATCATCCCATTCAAAGTGCCAGATTTAACCTTAAATATATTTGTCAAAAGCTGTCTGTAATTTCTGATAACCTTACAAAAACTGCCTTGTCTCACCCCCGACAGGTAAGAGAATTAATTCTTACTAGAGGTAAAAATCACAACATGCTGGAGTCTGTTAATCCAACTTGTTAATGAACTCAGTAGAGCCTCAAAACCATCAATCTGTTCTAAAGAAAATAGTTTTCTTATTCAAAGGCTTATAGTATGGAACAAGCTCACCATCGGAAATTACTATTCCTTAACAAATTTAAAAGATGACATAATACTTACAATATAAGCGTGAATAGCATCATTATAATACTTGTAATAGCTTTTTCTAGCAGAACAAATGCCCCGACTTCCACTTGTCTAGTTGGGCACTCAAAAAATGATTTTTCACTATGTGTCAGAATTTGAAGTTAATTAAAACTAATTGCCCACTGTACTGTAAGCGATGCTGCTGCATTTTCAAATAGCTTTGTTACTATGGGATGGTTTACTTAACACTGGCGTCTCTTATCTGCTGAATTCTGATTTTGCCTTAATTGTATCGTTCACATTTTTTATCTTCCCTTTCTGCCTTGCAACTTTACATAAAAGGTCATAAATAGCAAAGTTCATAGCTAAGACTGACACTTTATCAACGTGAGAAAAAACATCCTGGAATATGAACTAGCTCGAAATAAATGAACTTCTTTAACATCTTACATTCTTGTTCCTACTAGCCACTGCTTCCTGTCCTCAGGATACTTAAGTGTTCAGCTTCATAGCTAAACTTTATAGCTCAGACCCAGTGTAGTTCTTAATGCAGTAGCGTTCATTATCTTTGCCATATAGGGCAAACTCAAATAGGCCCCTTCACTAAAAAAATACAACTGGAAAACATATTGCTACTACTCCCAGACCTCACTAGCGTATTTTTAAGTCTTAACTTTGTGTGTCCAGTGTGCAGGTCTCCACATGCTGGAGCACGTATGGGTAGTACCTCCTCCCTTCGAGGGGAGGGTATGAAGGGTATAAATGCAAGGTTAAACACAGGCAAACATACCCAAGGCACAACCTTCTGCAGCTCTCCTTCAGGAACAGGAGGTACAGGACTGCAGCAGCAGATGGAGATTATGTCTGAAAGGAGTACAGGAAAAGAGGCGACGATAGCTCCAGATCTCCTGCATGAGCACAGGTCAAATTTCACACAAAAGTGCGACACCTCCTGAGACTGCTGTGACAGGCAAGTTAGCAGCCCAGTTGGTTGCCACCGCAGTCCCGCATAGCGGTGCAAAAAAAAATCACATTAGCCTGCTTATGTTAGCTCATAAATTAGCACTCATACCTTCGCTCACTTCACCATTTTCCCCCACTTAGCACACGGAAAGGATATTAGGACCAAGTTTCTAAGAAAGCTTGATGCCCAAGCTGTCACATGCTGCTAGGCTTATAGCCTTAGACCTGCAAACCTGGCTGTTGGTGTTATGTTAGGCTCCCATAGAAAGCTATTGTCAGAGCATGAAAACCACCATCGCTTTTTCTTCTCCCACTTTTCCTACGCTTTCATTTTGTTATTTCGGTTTTGTCGGGGGACCTAGTAATATGCCTGCACAAAATTTACCCACTAGCCAGCATGCAGCACCTGCCCCAATCAAGGTATGCTCCAAGCAGCGCCAACAGCATCAACAGGAACCACCTGGAGGGAGTTTCAGTAGAACCTAATAACAAAACAGTTCTCACTATGGGAAAAGTATTACAGGGGAACCAGCCATTGTGTGGCAATTACATTTTCTGGCTTAACACACCCTCAAAATTATTTTACACACACCTGTCTTGTTCCCTGTAGTCAAATCCCACCCAAGCCCATCCCAAGTGCAAAGAATCCTACTCAACCATCCCTCCAAGGAGCAGATGACCGTATGAAAGAGGTGACTTGCTCATTCTGTGGACAGAACTGAATTCCCATGCTCTCATCATCTTGCCTTATACTTTTGGGTAAGGTCCTCTACAAAGCTACTCAGCACAAGTCATCCAAGATTCACATAAGAGACCTACGTGGTATATGAGCAACTGTAGAAGAGAATAGCATTAAAGTGCTGGAGTAGAGTTAAACCAGCCTTTGCAAGTAAAATCTGCTGGGGAGAGATCAATAAACTGATAGACATGGAAAAAGCACCATATTTCACCACATTCAACTTCCAGATGTTAGATTCATGCTATACTCCTAGTCCACTTCATAATGAAGGGTAATAGCGGCTTGATAGCCTGGAGGCTGGAATAATCATTGCAGAGCAAGCACAGGCCACCACTCACACATGCCTGGGAAGTCTGCCTATGCAGTTTTAAACACATTTGTTAAATATGCTATTCATAAAAATACATGCTGGAGAATTTGTTCTAACTGCTCTTCAATGTTGTCACTTTTAGACAGAGATCCTCACTGAAGATCGCAATCTGGAGGCATCTAATAATCAGTTGCAATAGGGCTCTTCTGGAAAAGAAATCTGTACTTCAAGAAAAAAGTGAAAAGCTTTCTGGTTCTGTGATGCTGGGGCCGAGTCCATTGTCCTTAGTTTCCCTGTGGTTCAGCAACTGCCAAATGTATCACTCTAAATAGACTCGCAGGTGTCCCTCAGAGCAAGAACTGAGAACAGCAGAACAGGGCATGTCTCCTCTAGGCATAATCTACAGAGTCTTTATTAGGGCAAGTGCCCAACACCTTTGCAAGCTGAACATGTATGATATAGGATCAGAAGAAATAAAAAGGACGTACAGAACATACATTACATTTACAAGAACAACTGCATTTTAAAATGACTACATTTTAGAAGCTCATTTATTTCAGTTAACTGTTGACAATCATCTGTTGTTGTTTTGCCTTCAGTTCAATACAAAACATACACCATAAGGTGACTTCATAGAGATAAAAATCCTGGAACTGAGAAACCGTCTTCCAAACTGAGAAATCAAATGTGATGACTCAGTTAAATCCGTATCTATATGCAAGCTTTCTCCCCCTGTCGGTTTTGTTCAGGAGTGCTACAGCAGTCCCGGGAATTCTTCACATGAGTGAGATGGGGGAATTTGACCCCTCAGCCCCAGTCCTACTGCAGGACCCACTCTTACCAGAGTCCACTGATTTCAATAAAGATTTTTCCACTGTTGCAACAGGTCCATGGTTAATGGTTCTTGCCAGAAGATCAGCAGTTTAAATCTTAACTCATTAGGGGAGACATCTTTGCTGCTTCTTACTGACCAGTTACGTGGTACCTTCCACGTGGTACCTTCCACGAACAGAGGGAACAACAAGCAGTGACAAACTCTCTGCTTACAGGTCAGTCTGCTGTCATCCTTTCCTTACCATAACTCCTCCCATGGCTCACACTGCACTCTAGGGTGCTGAGCAGGCCCTGGCTTTGTCTGCTAGACACTGAATTTTTCATTTACTTGATGATAATCTCTCCTCTCCGAGACCACAGGAAAAAGCAGATGAGCCCTTAGCATGTATAAATTAACACTGACATTTGCTGGAATAATGTATTCTCTGGAGTCTCTGCATCTATGACGCCAACAGAGGCTGCTGGCAACATGAGCTTATATATGTCTCTGCTAAATCAGAGCATCATCTGCACAAATCAAGCACTTGGGAGACATCATGAGATTTTTTTGATTGTCCCTGGAGGACTCCAGGTCCATAAAGCTGTAGCTAGATTCTGCACCATCTATTCTTGCTGACTGCTGGAATTTCTTACAGACAATTTTTAGTGATAAATCTGAGCGTAAACCTTGCCAGTATTTCACAAGGTAACAAGCGAGCTTTGTTTGACTTTGAAGTACAGATTACTTGGTGGTGATAACACTACCTATCATACACAGTTCATTTTCTTTCATCAAAAACAGGTATCCTGGCTTGGTTTGAGTGTTCGTCTGCCCTGTGCAGCAAGTCTGGCACAAATGTGGGCCCTGGGCTGTGACACCTGTCTTTCTCGGGTTCTTCCCAAGGTTGGAGAGTTGAATGAATCAGGATTTGTCTGCCTAGGAGCAACCATGCGTCTGATCCAAGACTCTTTAAAGATAGTGCAAGGATAATGTGACCCCAGTGAGCTTTGGGACAGGTTTGTTGTGCTCTGGTGCTCCTGTGCACACCTTGCCCTTGACCATACCAAGGGCTCCAGGGCCTTTCACAGGGGTGACACCCACTTTCTACTCTTTCAAACACTGACCCCCAGAAACTGCTGGCATCAAGGCAACAGTTCCATTTCTCCAGGGCAACTATTCTTCTGAAGCCAAGGGGTTTTGAGTGGTGTTTATGCACTTCCACTACTGTATTAGCCACCTCTTACCTCACTGGCTGCAGTGGCACTGTTAAGTCAACATATGGGGATTCAATCCTTTAAATTAGTGGGGAGGTTGGGGTTTTTTTTAT